GAAATTATTTCGTAGTCTAATATACAAAAAAGGCTTTGATTCATTGCAAATCATAAAATTTTCATAAAATTCGATCTTAAGATTTCAAATAAAAACTAATTTTAGCTGCAGAAATGAATTAAATCTACGACAAATTAAAAATCTTATTAATTTCACCTCTCAAATATTAAAAAAAAAAAAAACTTAGTTATTAAAGTTTATTTTCTTATTACGTATGCAACGCATAAAATTAAATAACTGAATTCAAAATAACTAATTTTTTTTTAGGAATTGATATTTTTTAATAGTTTTAACATTTAATTAAAATCAAAATTGATAAAATTAGAGATTTTTTCTCCCTTTAATATACAAAAGCTCTTGTAAATTATAAAATTTTCACCAAAATCAATTTTTAGGTTTGAAATAATGCTTAAGCCTAAGCCCAAGCATTTTTTTATTATTTGAGATGTCAAATGACCACAATGTATGTGACCAGTTCCCGCATTATGCGTATATAATAATCAATTTTTTTTTTTAATTAAATGATATTTTTTAATAGTTTTAACATCCTTTGAAATTAAATTTTGATAATAGTAGAACTTCTTACCTAATTAAGTATGTAAATACCCGTACAAATTATGGGATTTTTATAAATGGGTTATTTAAATTTGAAATATAAATTAATTTTAATTGTAAGAATGAATTAAAATCGTGATAAATTAAAAATTTGATTAATTTTGCTAATCAAATATCGATTAAAACTTAATTATTAAAGTTTATTTTATTATTCACGCTGATCAATTGACCAACTGTAAATGACCAGTACCCATGCAATGCATATAAATTAATCAGTTAAGCTCAAAACATCTAACTTTTTTTAATGAATATATATTTTTTAACAATTTTAACATTTAATTAAAGTAAAATTTGATATTGCTAGAAATTATAGAAAAAAGTCTAATATACAAAAAAGGTTTTGATTCATTGCAAATCATAAAACTTTCATAAAATTCTATCTTAAGATTTCAAACAGAAATTAATTTTAGCTGCAGAAATGAATTAAATCTACGACAAATTAAAAATCTTACTAATTTTGGTTCTCAAATATTAAAAAAAGCTGTTATTGAAATTTATTTTCATATTTATGTTGTCAATTGACCACACCGTAACTGACCGTTATCCATGCAATGCATAAATTTAATCAATTGAGTTCAAAATAACTAATTTTTTTAAATGAATTGATATTTCTTAATAGTTTTAACATTTAATTAAAATCACAATTGATAAAACTAGAAATTATTTCCTCGTTTAATATACAAAAACTCTTGGAAATTATAAAATTTTCACCATAATCAATTTTTAGATTTGAAAAAATGCTTAAGCCTAAGCCTAAGTACACCCTAAGCCTAAGCCTAAGCATTTGTTTATTATTTAAAATGTCAAATGACCGCGATATATGTGACCAGTACTATTCAACGCTTATAAATTAATTAAGCTCAAAATATCTAATTTTCTTTACGAACTGATATTTTTTAATAGTTTTAACATTTTAATTAAATTGAAATTTGACAACACCGGCATTTATTTCATAGTTTATTATGCAAAAACTTTTACAAACTGCACAATTTTCTTAAATTATGGCATTTAAATTTGGAAAATAAATTAATTACAATTGTAAGAATGAAATAAAACCGTGACAAACAAAGAATTTAATTAATTTTGCTAATAAAATATTGATTAAAAGTTATTTTTTAAAGTTTTTTTTAATATTTTATGCTGACCAATTGACCACACCGTGATTGACCAGTACCTATGCAACGCTTATAAATTAATCAATCAAGTTCAAATTATCTAATTTTTTTAATGATTTGATTTTTTTTTAATATTTTAACATTTAAATAAAATGAGTTTTTGATATTGCTAGAATTTATTTTATAGTTTAATATACAAAACTCTGACAAATTATTGAATTTTCATTAAATTTGATATTTAAATTTGAAATAAAAATTAATTTCAATTGTAAGAATTAATTAGAACAGTGGCAAATTAAAAATTTAATTAATTTTGCTTCTAAAATATCATTCAGAACTCAATTTCTAAACTTGATTTTATTATTTTTGCTGGTCAAATGACTACAATGTATGTGACCAGTATCCATGAAATGAATAAAAAATAATCAATTAAGTTCAAATTATCTAATTTTTTTTTATGAATTGATATTTTTCAATATTCTAACATTTAATGAAATTAAATTTTGACAATTCCAGCATTTATTATATAGTTTAATACGCAAAGCACTAATAAATTATTGAGTTTTCATAAAATTTAATATTTAAATTTGAAATTAAAATTAATTTTAATTGTAAAAATAAATTAGAACCGTGACAAACTAAAAATTTAATCAATTTCGCTAATCAAATATTGATTAAAACTTAATTATTAAAGCTTATTTTATGTTGCCAATTGACACATCGTGAATGACCAGTACTTATGCAACGCTTATAAATTAATCAATTAAGCTCAAAATATCTGACTTTTTTTATTGAATTGATTTTTTTAAATATTTTAACATTTTATTAAATTGAAATTTGACAATGCCGGGATTTATTTCACAGTCTATTTTATTAAATCCGCTACTGAAATATTGCTAAGAACTTAATTATTAAAGTTTATTTTATTATTAATGATGTCAAATGACCACAATGTATATGACCAGTTCCTGTACAATGCACATAAAAAACTTGCTGAGATCTAATTTTCTATTTTTTTTTAAATGTATTGCTATTCCTTAAAAGTTTTAACAATTAAAATGAAATTTAATAATACTAGAAGAAATGAAAGTAAATTTTTTTTTTTTGAAAAAGATAAAGTGAATTTTTGAAAGTGTAAGGTGAACTTCAAAGTGAATTTTGCAAACTTTCCTTTTTGGATAAATTGTCAAATATCTACTATTGAATGTGTATAGATCTTTAAATGAATTACAATTTTTCCTAACATTTTTGGCATTCAATTAAAACAAAGTTTAGCAGATTTAAAAATTTTGTCAGTTTCAAATTAGTAAAAACTCTTAGGAATTGTCGAGAAATCCTATTGATCCATACCTAAATCTGCAATTAAAATTAATTTCAACTTCAAAATAAAAATTAAAATCATCATTTGCAAATTTTATTTTTTTTTCAAATAAAATTTTCAAATAAAATTTTCAAATAAAAATTAATTTTAGCTGCAGAAATGAATTAAATCTACGACAAATTTTAATCTTACTAATTTTGGTTCTCAAATATTAAAAAAAGCTGTTATTGAAATTTATTTTCTTATTTATGTTGTCAATTGACCACACCGTAACTGACCGTTATCCATGCAATGCATAAATTTAATCAATTGAGTTCAAAATAACTAATTTTTTTAAATGAATTGATATTTCTTAATAGTTTTAACATTTAATTAAAATCACAATTGATAAAACTAGAAATTATTTCCTCGTTTAATATACAAAAACTCTTGGAAATTATAAAATTTTCACCAAAATCAATGTTTAGATTTGAAATAAAGCTTAAGCCTAAGCCTAAGTATACCCTAAGCCTAAGCCTAAGCATTATTTTATTATTTAAGATGTCAAATGACCACAATGTTCAAGCACTATGCGTATATAATAATCAATTTTTTTTTATTAAATGATAATTTTTAATATCCTTTAAAATTAAATTTTGATCATAATAAGACTTCTTACCTAGTTTAATATGCAAAAACCTGTACAAATTATGGGAATTTTATAAATGGGTTATTTAAATTTGAAATATAAATTTATTTTAATTGTAAGAATGAATAGGAATCGTGAAAAATTAAAAATTTAATTAATTTTGCCAATGAAATATTGATTGAAACTTAACTTCTAAAGTTTATTTTATTATTATTGCTGGTCAAATGACCACGATGTGTGTGACCGGTACCTATGCAACGCATAAAATTCAATCAATTAACTACAAAATATCTATTTTTTTAATGATTTGAGATTTTTTAATATTTTAAATTTAAATAAAATTAGTTTTTGATATTACTAGAATTTATTTTATAATTCTTATAAATTCAATGAATTTTAATAGAAATTGAATTTTAAATTTAAAACAAAAAATAATTGTAACTGTAAGAATTTAATAAGTATAACATAATCTACTAAGTTCAAAATATTGCTATTTATATTGTTTTTGGCACTTAATTAAAACAAAAAATGATAATTTAGAACCAATTTTCTTGTTAAATTTAAGAAAACTATTACCAATTTTAAAATTTTTAAAAAACTCAGAATTTAAATTTGAAATTAAATTTGATTCTGAACCTTAAATTCAATTAAAACCATGATTAAATGATAGTTTTATTAATTTTGCTGACGGATTTTTGCGTAAAATTTAATTACAAAAGCGTATTTTAATATTTAAACTATAAAATGACCACACCATACTTGTCCCGCTCTGCTGCAATGCATATAACATAATGAATTAATAGCAGTTTTGGCACTTAAATAAAATAAAAAATGATAATTTAGAACCAATTTTCTTGTTTAATGTAAGAAAATTATTACAAATTTTAAAATTTTTAAAAAATTCAAAATTTAAATTTCAAATTAAATTTAATTTTGAACCTTAAATTGAATTAAAACCATGATTAAATGAAAGTTTTATTAATTTTGCTGACGAATTTTTGCGTAAAACTTAATTACAAAAGCGTGTATTAATATTTAAACTATAAAATGACCACACCATACTTGTCTCGCTCTGCTGCAATGCATATAACATAATGAATTAACTTCAAAATATTGCTATTTTTAGCAGTTTTGGCACTTAATTAAAATAAAAAATGATAATTTAGAACCAATTTTCTTGTTAAATGTAAATCCACTGGAACTTTCGATAAGGGTATAGGGGAGTTAACTGACGCCGCAATAGCCATTGATTGGCTTCAAGAACACAACCCTAGTAATGTTCCAATTTGGATCGTTGGTTTTTCCTTTGGAGCATGGGTAGCTATGCAACTGATAATGCGCAGACCTGAGATAGTAGGCTTTATTGCTTTTTTCCTTCCAGCAACAAAGTATGATTTCTCTTTTCTCTCCCCCTGTCCGGTTCCTGGGCTTATCATACAAAGCAGTAATGACACAATTTCAGAAGAAAGTGATGTAACAGAATTAGCAAACTCGTTTACCTCAAAATTGACATCCAAATCAGCTGGCAACTTCTTCACTATATCGTGTAAAGTATGTGCTGAAACTTTTACTTCTCCTTCTGTTGACACATCTGCAGCAAGTGAAGCAAATATTGAAATATCAAGATCAGTAGCCATTAATTTTATGCTGCCATGTTGTGCTTTAATATTTATACACGCCAAGATATCTATTGCATTACGCCTTTCGACCACTCCACTTACTCTGGTCAGCGTACTTAAAAGACTTGTACGGCCTATGCTAAGACGCATTTGCTTACATACAGAACTTTGTTTTTTGATTTCTACATCTATACCCCCAACCTGTGACATTATCTATTCTTAAAAAATATTTCAAATGATATCCACATTCTACGTAAAGTGAAGTGCTTATTTATATTTTTACCGGAAGAGTGGTTTTTATACTGTGGTTTAGCCTGAGATTATAACAGTTCACTTTACATAGCTGAAGCTCGAGCTTAGCATCTGGGTTGTGAAAGTAAAGCCTGGCTACGCACGTAATTTTCTTTTTCCACAAAGGAAAGCAGTGTAAGCAACCAAGGAAAGCATAGCAAAACTGGAGGAGCAGCGTTCCTTTCTAGAAGAGGAAAATATAAGAAAATTGAATTTGGCAAGTGAGCTAGCAGCTTCTCTTGCTGATAAGTTTGTAATATTGGTAAAGCAAGCTTCTGAGGATAGTAGCTTTCACGCAAGAATAACACTACAAGATAAGGATACGGCTATAAACTAAGCGAACTTTTAAATAGTAAATTCTATAAAGATAACAAAATCACTGATTTTTCAATATTAGATAATGATGACAGAAAAATTACAAATGTTTATGTTATTGAGAGTGGTGATGGTAGAAAAGTTAGAGTCAGATGTTATGACTTAGCTAATTCTTCTCTATGTGAATGTGAATTGCAGTTTAAATGGTACATCAATGGAAAAAAATGCAACATTGCATAGAGTTCTGAATTCTTTTCGCATGTCCAGGATAAGATTTTTTTACCGACACTACTGCTATTCTATAGGAACAACCCTCTGGCCTTATAGCTAAAACAAAAACAAAATGCAATACCTCAAAAACAACTTTTTTAATATCTCCAATATGCACGTTAACTAAAATTTAGCATAGAGGTTTTTCATTTTTCACCCATGTTATAACCCCAATATTCATTCCATGGAAGTAAAATTTTTCTATGATTAGACAATAAAATATTTTATTATTTACTAGAATAGTAATAATAGTTACTGACAGCAATATCAATTTATAGTATAAGTAATATTGTTTAGTTTTAAATGTATGGATTTTAGTTTCTCTCACAATTGATTTAGTACTGCAGGCAGTACAAATTCAAAAAATAACGATCGGATCACAGAATCTATAATAGAAGATGATGATGAGTTTGAGATTATTGATGAGTTTATAAGTCTTCGTGATTCAAATAAAACATATTCTTTATCTTCTTCTTACCAAATAGATGAAAGTATTGTAGGAACAGATGGGTAGAGTATGCCATAAAAGAGAAAAGAGATGTAACTGTTGCCATCATGGGTGGAAGGGTAGCAGAAGAGATAAGCGATGCATCTTCGAATATAAAACAAACGTCTACTTATCACGTGCCATGGTGACAAAATGAGGCATGAGTGACGAAGTAGGACCAGTATGTCACAGAATGTACATAGTTGTGACATAGTTTCTGAGGACACTCTGAAACTTAGAGATGAAGAAGTAAGTCTTGGTGTTATGAAAAGACAAGTTATATTTGTTAACTAAACGCTGCAAAGATCTGATTGATGAGAGTGAAATGAAAGATATATTAATAACGAAAGCAAAGAGAAAGAAAATCCTCCTTCTCTCTCTCTCTCTCTCTCCCTCTCCCATATAGGTTATATTGAACAATTTTCAGTTAATCAATGTTAAACTAATAGCAATTCTCAAAAGTAGTAGGAAAGCAAATTGATTTGTTGCCTATAACACTTATAAGTTCTTGAGTAAGCTTAAAAGTTCTTTATTTGTCTAGCTTTTAGCTGATAATAGAATTAGCATAATTTATTTAATAGTGAAATGAATATAATTAATAAAAAACATTGTTAATAGCAACCCTTACTTTGTTGTTGTCACGACAGTCTGGCGCAAGTGAAACAAAAGGATTTTACCTGAGTGGCAGGTATTATAGTCGATTTTTTTGCCAGCATGGGTAAGTTAAAACTAAAATCTGAAGATGCTAATTATAGAATTGCAACAGATTTTTGGAATGATGGTAGAGGTATACCAGAAGAATTGTATCACCTGGATAAACATAGCTGAGCTATAGTCCACCTTTTGCTGCAAGTATGGCATTTGGCAACCACAAAGTTGAATTAGAGGCACTTAAATAAAATTAAAATTGATAATTTACAACCAATTTCCTTGTTAAATGTACGAAAACTATTACAAATATTAAAATTTTTAAAAAATTCAAAATTTAAATTTGAAATAAAATTTAATTTTAATTCTTAAATTGAAAGTTTTATTAATTTTGCTGATGATTTTTTGCGCAAAACTTAATTACAAAAACGTATTTTAATATTTAAACTATAAAATGACCACACCATATATGACAAGCTCTAGTGCAAGGCATATAACATAATCAATTAAGTTCAAAATATTGCTATTTTTAGTAGTTTTGGCACTTAATTAAAATAAAAATTGATAATTTAGAACCAATTTCCTTTTTTAATGTATGAAAACTATCACAAATTTTAAAATTTTTAAAAAATTCAAAATTTAAATTTGAAATAAAATTTAATTTTAATTCTTAAATTGAATTAAAACCATTACTAATTGAAAGTTTTGTTAATTTTGCTGATGAATTTTTGCGCAAAACCTCATTACAAAATTTTAATTCTTAATTTGAATTTAATTAATTTCACTTCTCTAATATTAAAAAAAATTTTGATTAATTTCATTTCTCTAATATTAAAAAAAAACTTAGTTATTAAAGTTTATTTTCTTATAATTGATTAATTTGTGTGCATTGCATAGGTGCTGGTCGCATACATCGTGGTCATTTGATCAGCAGAAATATTAAAATAAGCTTTAATAATTAAGTTTTAATCGATATTTGATTAGCAAAACTAATTAAATTTTTAATTTTTGACAGTTTTAATTCATTCTCACAATTATAATTAATTTTTATTTCAGATTTAAATTTTATGAAAATTTATTAATTTACTAGAATTTTGCATATTATTCTACAAAATAAATTCCAGCAATATCAAAAATTTATTTTAATTAATTTTTAATATATATATATATATATATATATATATATATATATATATATAAAAATATAAAAAAATATCAAGTCATTAAAAAAAGTAGATATTTTGAACTTAACTGACTAATTTTTATGCATTGCATGGGTACTGGTCACATAATTGTAATCATTTGACCAGCATAAATATTAAAATAAACTTTAATAATTAAGTTTTAACCAGTATTTGATTAGTAAAACTGATTAAATTTTTGATTTGTCACGTTTTCAATTCATTCTAACAATTAAAAATAATTTTTATTTCAAATATAAATATCAAATTTTAAGAAAATCGTATAATTTTTAAAAGTGTTTGTATATTAAACTGTGAAATAAATCCCGGGTTGGTCAAAATTTATTTTAATTAGATATTAAAATGTTAAAAAATATTAGATCGTTAAAAAAAAGTAATAGCAGCAGCAGCAGCAGCAGCAGCAGCAGCAGCAGCAGCAGCAGCAGCAGCAGCAGCAGCAGCAGCAGCAGCAGCAGCAGCAGCAGCAGCAGCAGCAGCAGCAGCAGCAGCAGCAGCAGCAGCAGCAGCAGCAGCAGCAGCAGTACTGATGATCTCTATGTCATCAGCAAGTGTTGCTATGAGTTTGTCTTGTTGCAACCGCAAGTGCTGCTATTCTTCTTGGTGTATTTGCAACTTGGTGGGAAATAGCAGTGGTAGATTATTACTCAAAAGCAATGCTTAAAAAGAATCAAAAGTGGAGAGAGATATGAGGAATTATTTGCCTTCTCAAAGAGTTCAAAAGCCTATATAAAAGGCACGCATATGACATTTGCAGATATTTTCAATCCGCAGGAAATTGCAGATCTAATCAGTTACTTGAGTGTCAAGTAAACGATAGTCAGGTTGCTATACCAAAATAACATGGATTACAGCATTACTTTGCTTGATGAAAACAGTAAGTACATAGCGCACATTGCGAGCTACAAAGGAAAAAAAAAAAGCTTCCATAGTCTTTTTTGGTGGATTTTCATTCAATATGAAAGGAATTAGAACAGCTGCTATTTAAAAATTTTGTCAAGAAACTCATATAGCATTTGTGTTATTTGATTACTTTGGTCATGGTTATTGGTTAGTCAGGTGCTGATTATACTGATTACACGATGAGTGATTGGCAAAAAAATTGTGTTAGAGTAACTCGTAACGGCAAGCAAATAATTATAGGTTCAAGCATGAGACGGTGCCTGATGTTGCTCAATGCTCTCCAACTTTCAGAAAGAATTGCAGCACTAATTGGTGTATCGTCTGCTTCTGACTTTACTGAAGATTTAATATTCTATCAGTTATCCGAAAGCAAAAAGAAGAATTAGATTCCAAAGGAGTAATAGATTTTACTTCTGAATATACAAAATTTTCATTAAATATACAAAATAACTAAAAACTTGGTATAGAAGATGAAAATGGCAAAAAAAGCTTCTTTTAAATAAAGAGACAATAGATATATAAACTGCCCTGTGCGTTTATTGACGATAATGCTATATTCCTTACCAACTTCGTTAAATTTAGTCAAGAAGTTGAGGTGCATCTGATGAAGACAGTAGTAGGTAGAGAGCATAACATGTCTGACAATCGTTCATTGGAATTTTTACTTCAGATGATTTAGAGAGTTTTTGCTGTGTTTAGGACTCATCATTTTGCAAGGGAGATTTCATTTGGGAGAGCGACCAGAACCGAACTAGGCGCACATACCCACTTAGATGGTTTGGGGAGTTTTTGCTGGCTGATTAAAGACTCATAATAATGCAGAGGAGATTTTAAGTGAGGGTAGCGAGCAGAGCCGAGCTAGCCGCACTCAATGCCACAAGCTGATGCCCTACCAACTGAGCCACACCCACTCGGATTATTCAGGGAGCCTTTGCTGGCTGTGTACTTGGGCACACTAATTTAGTACTCATCATAAGGTAGGGAGGATCTTCTTGGAGAGAGTGAGCAGAGCCGAACTAGCCACACTCAGTACCCACAAGCTGATACTCTACCGACTGAGCCACACCGACCAAAGTACTGTGTCCCCTATACATAAGTACAAAAAGAAAGCAGCAAAAAAAGTCAATGGATTATTTAAGCAATTGACTATTGACTCTTTTACTTCAGACTGTATTGTTCCCCTGATAAAACAGTTGCAGAAGCAATTTCATTATTGAAAAATCTTTTGGTATTCCTGTGATTGATCAATGCAAGTTAGTCAGAGTTTTAATTAACAGAGATATAAGGTTTGTTGATGGTTAAAAAAATCAGAAAAAAGTATAAAAGTCCCCGAGGTAATGACGAAAGAGAAGTTAGTTACAATACGGGAGCGCTTCATGAGAATAGAATAGAAAAGCTTTTGGTCATAGATGAAAACACCTACTCTATAGATTTGATCACAGTTAAAGATATTAAGAAATACAATAGATACCCTAATTCATGTAATGATACTTAAGGGCGGCTCAGAGTTGCCGCTGCAGTTGGTACTGGTAAAAAGGATGGTATAGAAAGATGTGAAACTATGGTCAGAGAAGAGATTGACGTAATTAATGTTGATGCAGGTGTTGATGCAATGAAGATTAGAATAGAACCTAGATCAACATGCACAACAAGTAGTGGGTGTAGGTGTGTCACAATTTTCTGTAATTCAAAACGTTACAAAAAACATGTAAAGCAAGAAAAGTAAGATTGACTATCAAATTTTAATTTAATTAAGTGTAGAAAATATTAAAAAAATACCAATTCATATTTAAAAAAATAGAAAATTAGAAACTAATTTAATATTTTATATGCATAGTGCGGGAACTGGTCACATACATTGTCATCACAGAAAAGTGAATTGGTAGATTACTTATCTTATCCAGTAGATTCCAACATTTATCTTTATTGGCTCGTTGCTGTTCCTTTTAAAAGAAACGCAAACAGGTTAACACAAAAAGAAGGTAACAGAACTATAAGCTTTGGCAAATCAAAAGCTACGCTCATGACTAGTGGAGAAAAGTGACATTTGATAATGTTGCTGGGATTGATGAAGCAGAAGAAGAGTTAGTAGAAATCGTTCACTTTCTAGAGCAGAGATAAGAATTTCAAGTGTTAGGCGGGGAAATACCGAAAGGATTTCGGTAGAAGTATGCTTGCTTGTGCAGTTGCAGGTGAAGCTAATGTGCCTTTTTTAGTATTTCTGAATCTGAAATGTTCGTTAACGTTGGTGTAAGTGTGTGTTCTGATGGATTTGATCAGAGGTAAGAAAAATAGGTGTGAAATAGATGCGATGGGTAGATATCGTGATATTATTTGAAAAAGGTAAAAAAGAAAAAGCAAATTAGGAGAGGTTTAAGTGTGGAGAATGACTTAAGTGTAAACAGATGGTTATTTTCTACAAACGGTGTTGAAGCTGGCCTTACTCTTAGCAAAACCGGCCTTATTGCAGTGACTTTGTTGACAATTTCAATATGAACTTGATTGTTATCTTTAGCTTCAATTTCATTTATAATACTATACCTATCAGGCTCCTTTATAGCTATTTCTTGAAATCCTTTTCGAACCTTAGACTAATGTTCATCTCTTCATATTTGTTTTTATGCTTTGCTCTGCTCAGCCCAATTTGAATATCAATATCTAGGATAAATGTGCTATCTGGATATTTAATTTTTACTAACTCGTGTAGGTCTCGCATTAGCTCTAGGTCAACACCAAGTCCGTATCCTTGATATAAAGTAATTGAATCGATAAACGGGTCACAAATACTCACTATCTTTCCTTTTTTTAGAGCTGGCAGTATTACTTTTTCAACATGCTCATATCTCATTGAAATGAGTAGCAAGAGTTCGGAGACGGGATCGATGCTGTCCTCTTACCTTTTTTGCAAAGTCAGTGCCGCTTGGTTCTCGAGTCAATACCATATTTTTCATCGTGAATTTGCTTAAAATAATTTGCAAGCAACTCAGACTGTATTGTTTTACCAGAGCCGTCTATTGCTTCAAAAGTTATGAACATAAGTTTTAATTGTAATACCAAAAAAGGAGACGCAAATATTATACATAAGAACTGTTTGACATTTAAGTAAAATCACAAATTATAAGTTGTAATATTCTCTAAGCTACGGTTACTCTGAATAGTCCTAAGGTAGATTCTGACTTCACTGCAAAGAATTTTACTCTTCTGGGGTGGATAACAAATACTATATATTAAGTGATTGTTGTGGAAAAAATGGTTTTATTGTAAGCTTTATATGGAACAACTGTCCTTACGTACAATCAGTTATTAGTAACTCGGTAAGTGATATTGATTTGTTAAAAAAGGATTATCAGGTGAATACAATAATGCCAAATGATGTAAATGAATACCCAGAAGATTCCTTTGAAAATATGATTAATTTTGCCGAGGAAAATAAGTTTATATTTCCATATCTCTGATTGACAATAAACAGGAAGTAGCTAAAGAGTATGGTGCTGTTTATACTCCTGACTTTTTTGGCTTTAATGCTAATTTAAATCTCTGTTTTAACGATGCAAAAAAAGGAAAATCCAGAACTATGAGATAGGGAGTAGTAATTATTTCAAGCTATAAAATCTACTGCAGAAACTGGTAAATCTCCCATTAACCAGAAATCAAGTATTGGTTGCTCAATAAAATGGTCTGATTCTACATTTTACAGGTTAATATATATGCCAATTTTACTATATTAAAAAATTTTTGATAAATTTCGTATCATAATATATAATATTAAAGTTTTAAAGGTTATTGTATCATGGCTTTATCAAAATTTCCTGATCTGAAATTTGACCTAATATTTAAGAAAATCTTTGGCACTGAAAAGAATAAGAAGATTCTTATTCGCTTTCTCAATGATATTTTAGGATTCACTGAAATAAATGCTATACAAGCGGTAGAATTCTTAAGCGCTGTAATCGATCCTGAAATTACCTCTGACAAACAAAGCATAGTTGATGTTTTCGCAAGGATGCCACTGGAACCAGGTGTGTAATTGAAGTGCAGCTCGCTATAAACAAAGACTTTAAGAAACGTGTTCAACTTTATGCTGCTAAGGCTTACTAAGGCAATTAAATAAATCGGTTAAGGCTTGCTCAATTAGACATTGATTTAAAGAAAGTTTTCTTTATTGTAATTTCCAATTGTAACTTACTCTCTAAAAAGGTTGATTGTGTATCTACTCATAATATACATGATACAAAAACCAATGGCCATTACTTGAAAGATTTTCAATTTATTTTTATTGAACTACCTAAATTGTCTAGGAGTAAAGTAGAGCAATTAATAAATATAGTAGAGCATTGACGCTTCTTTTTTAAGAATGCAGAGGATACCACTGAAACAGATGTAAAAGCTAGCATACGATGGGTTAGATGAGTTCCGTTGGAATGAAGAAGATAAAATAGCGTATGAAGAAAGAGGAATCTAATGAATCTACAGAAAGACAAAGCCATCCTTGAATACAGCTACTAAAAAAGGTAGAGGAGAAGGTGTCAAAACCAGCAAAGAGAGAGGCATCAAGTTGGAGCAGAGAAAGGTAGAGTGAAGAAAGCTAAAATAGCAGTACCGAAAAATTCACTTAAGGCAGGTATGTCTATAAGTCTTCCAACGTTGAAAAGAGAAATAATAAAATCAAAAGAACTAAACCTAGTAGAAAAAATAAAAATAGAACAAATAATTATGAAATCAATAACTTCAGATGCTAGCAAGGATAGTAATGAAAATCATTCTAATGCAGAAACAAATGAATACTACCGGAATTATTTACCACACCAGGAAGAAGTCTAACGCACACATCAACAACTACCATCGCTGCTGGTTCACCTCCTGAAACAGTATGAGGAGTATGCTCACCCATACCCTCAAATCGACCACATGATGTCGTTACATGAGGAAATCCTACCAACAATAAACTTCCCATTATCAGTTATAAGTCCTCTTGTGCGTTTTCACTCCATTCTATCATTTCGGCATTGCGGGCTGTCTGTAAATCATTCTGCGCCGACTGATTCAACTTTACATTTGCTTTTATTTTCCTCACGTGGTTTAATATCTATCTACATGAATATCTCCCATTTCTTCAGAATGCTTATCATAGATAAGCTCCTCCTTCCTTATTCGGCCAATTCGACTGTGCACAGAATTACAGCTATAGTTGGTGATATATTTGTTCAGTAATGTATGGCAGAGAAGGTGCAAAGCAAATAACCGCAAAGTAGTATTCAACACATATGTCAAACTTTGCCTCGCTGCTTACTTTATCTCCATATGCACTTGTTGTTTGTTGCTAATTCCAAGTGATTGTCACAAAAGTCTTTCCAAAAAAATCCTTCTACTGCACCCAAAGCTTCACAGTATTCAAATTGTAATAAGTTATTCGTTGCTATAACTTTATATAGTTTAGACAGTATCTATTGATCCACTATCTCATCTGGATACCTTTCCATGAATTAGAAACAAACTTGCTGGCATTGAAAAGTTTTGTAACCAGGCACTTGCCAATTTTGAGTATGTTTTCAGAGTAGACTGTATCAACTCCAAGCCTTCAGTCTGCTGTCCAATAACGCACTACATCTGCACCGTATGTATCAAGTATCGATTTTGGAGTTATTATATTACCTTTGATTCACTCCTTCCTCTGCACAATCATCATTCAAACAACCCTCAAAGAAAGTTCCTTTCTCCATATTGAAATAATTTGGAGATATTTCAGAAAAAGACAAAAAATTGCTTATTTTCTCCATATTCAATAGACACAGCTTGCAAAGAAGACTGTACACGTTTTACACAAGCAATATTCAGCTGGGTAGAGCGTTGCCCTTCAGAGGTAGGAGATGTCGGCAAGGGTGCAGCAGGAGAGTCATCGATGGAGGAGCATGTGGCAGGGATGGGTAATGGCACTGCAACAGGCGCAGCGCTCGGTAATTGCAAGAGCAACAAGAGAGGCAAGAGCTGGAGTTAAGGATAAGGCGTCAAAGAGTGATGCAAGCTCACTTACTTAGCTTATTCTGGGCAAAACATGCACATTTGCGCACTTTCTTCCCAAGTGACGTCATGACAATAAATAGATAGCATTGGTATTATTGATTACAGTAGCAATAGCAGCAGCACAGTGCTGAGCTGAGATGACATTTTGAACACTTGTATTCTCAAAGAAACTTGGTTGCAAATCAGTGATATTACCATATAAGTCACATCTATTCTTGCAGTAACTTTCTCACTGCCAATCCCAATGAAATACAATTTAATAAATGCACTGCGAGAAATGGCTAAAACTATGAATATAGTAACTAATAGCTTAGCGGTGAAGTTGTGCTCTGCACCACAATCGATTATGTTACTCAAGCCTCTGCCAACAAGGAGAATCGTTAAGATGAAATAATGCAGATTAGGTTTTATGTAATGAAATAATTGCCTGGTATTAGATCGCATCTTATTTTGAAGTTTCTAAAGTTAAGTTATGGATTTTGACTTCAGGAGAAAGAGGAAAGGTATAGTATAAAGGAACTAGTCTATAGCTTGTCTTTTAAAAGAAATACGCTCACGAAGATTTAATATGATAGTCTGATTTCTACTGAGGACAGCATTATGCCAAATGCAATGCTCGAAAAAAGAGGAGCCGCCGTAGCTAAGCAGTGGCAAAGTTATGCTAAGTGGTTAGAAGAGTGTCCAACGTTACCCCTATGTTTATTGTAAATTGTGGAATAAAGTGAATTGAGATATCCAAAGTTAGCAGCAGATTAAAGGTAAAAGAACTTCATATAGAAGTTGTTCACTCTCTAATCCTGTAAATTGTCGTAGTGTCTTAAACTTTTTATAGGTGCGTTTCGATTTGTAGAGGTAAAAACCTGAAATTTAGGTAAGATTGCAAGAGAGGACAATAGAAAATTGGCCTCTAGGGGGGCAATTTTGTAAGAGAGTTTCTAAGATCTATAGAGCTATAAAATGGTAATGTAAGGCTGCTAAATGCGTCTCAAGCCAATTATCTATACTTTTTTCGAAATTTCGATGAATTATATTTTGCATCTACACTTTAAATGTTATAAGGAAGCTTAAAATTATAAGTTAAAAAATATAGTTGAATATTTGCAAAAAATAGTGTATTACTATTAAGTTAATTTCTTATGGCTTTTTCTAAATTCCTTACCAAAACTGGACCTGACTTTCAAAAAGATCTTTGGCACGAAAGAAGTAAGAATGTTCTTACCCATTTTTGAGCGAAGTTTTAGGGTATACTGAAGTTAATACTACGCAAAAAATAGAATTCATCAGCGTCATTATGAATTCTGAATTTGCTTCTGAGAAACAAAGCATGGTTGATGTTCTCTCAACGATTCTGTTGGTAATAAGTTTGTGGTTGAAATGGAGCTCACTCGTGACAAGGACTTTGAAAAATGTGCTCAATATTACACTGCCAAAGCTTCTCAAGGCTATCTGGTGGATTTACAAAAGATTTTCTTTATTATAATATCAAACTGCACTTTATTTCCCGATGAGTGAGTCAATTATATATCTAGCTATACCATAAGAGACGATGAAACTAGTGAGCATGATTTACAAGATTTTCAATTCGTGTTCATTGAACTATCTAAATTTCCTAAAAGTAAAGTAGACTAATTAACAAGCATAGTAGAACGCTGGTGTTTCTTTCTTTAAGTATGCAGAAGAAATAACAGATAAAAACTCAAAAAAGATAGCAGGAGAAGTATTAATCATAAATTAAGCATATGATGAGTTAAACAAGTTTCATTGGGATGAAAAGTATCTAACAGCGTATGAAGAAAGAATAATGAATCTGTACAGAGAGGAAGCTATCCTTGAACAGAAACTTGCAAGGTATGGAAGAAGGAAAAATTGAAGTGGCAAAGACAAAGGCTGGCTGATAGTGTTGACACCAATACTATTGTCAAGTTTACTGGTCTTTCCATCAGTGAAAATGAAAATATTGCAGGATTAGAAGACGCTCATCAGTTAACCCAACGCGGGACGCGGACAGAATGACAGAATGCTATCAAGTGTACGGTTATACAAGGAACCTAATAATAATTGGTAGAGTCCCTCAGTTTTTCAAAAAAATTGTTTTGAGAAAAAAACAAAAAGCGCACTCAATTTCTGATACCCCGTCATAAACTTCAGGTATGTGATTGCAAAACTGAAATATTTTAGCACCATTTTCAATTTCTCCACCTTTTGAATTATAGGCTCTAGAGTACAATCGTCTAACCCTTAAAGGAAATAGGAAATTTTATGAAAAAACAATAATTTATTAGAATTTTGCATGTTAAACTATAAAAAAAATTCTAATAATACCAAAAATTTATTTTAATTAAATGATAAAATATTGAAAAATTTCAACTCCTTAAAACAAAGAGATATTTTGAACTTAATTGATTAATTTATATGCATTGCATGGATACTGGTCACACACACCATGGTCATTTGACCAGCAAAAATAATAAAATAAACTTTAGAAATTAAGTTTTAATCAATATTTTATTAGCAAAATTAATTAAATTTTTAATTTTTCACGATTTTAATTCATTCGCACAATTATAATTAATTTATATTTCAAATTTAAATAATACATTTATAAAAATCCCATAATTTTTACGGGTATTTGCATACTAAACTAGGTAAGAAGTCCTACTATTATCAAAATTTAATTTCAAAGGATGTTAAAAGTATTAAAAAATATCATTTAATAAAAAAAAAATTGATTATTATATACGCATAGTGCAAGAACTGGTCACATACATTGTTGTCATTTGACATCTTAAATAATAAAATAATGCTTAGGCTTAGGGCTTAGGGTATACTTAGGCTTAGGCTTAAGCATTATTTCAAATCTAAAAATTAATTTTGGTGAAAATTTTATAATTTGCAAGAGTTTTTGTATATTAAACGAGGAAATAATTTCTAGTTTTATCAATTTTGATTTTAATTAAATGTTAAAATATCGAAAATCATCAATTAATTAAAAAAAATGGATATTTTGAACTTAATTGATTAATTTGTGTGCATTGCATAGGTACTGGTCACTTACGGTGTGGTCAATTGACAACATAAATATTTAAATAAACTTTAATAATTAAGTTTTAATCAATATTTGAGAATGAAATTAATAAGATTTTAATTTGTCGTAGATTTAATTCATTTCTGCAGCTAAAATTAATTTTTGTTTGAAAGCTTAAGATAGAATTTTATGAAAGTTTTAATGATTTGCAATGAATCAAAACCTTTTTTGTATATTAGACTTTTTTCTATAATTTCTAGTAATATCAAATTTTACTTTAATTAAATGTTAAAACTGTTAAAAAATATATTATTCATTAAAAAAGTTAGATATTTTGAGCTTAATTGATTAATTTGTATGCATTGCACAGGTACTGGTCATCTACGGTTGCTCATTTGATCAGCATAAATAATTAAATAAACTTTAAAATTAAGTTTCAATCAATATTCGACTAGCGAAATTGATTAAATTTTTAATTTATCACGGTTTTAATTCATCCTTACAATTCAAATTAATTTTATTTCAAATTTAAATATCAAATTCTGTGAAAATTTAATGATTTATTAGAGTTTTGTATATTAAAAGTAAAATGAATCCCTGTGTTGTCAAAATTTATTTTAATTAAATGTTAAAATATTATAAATATCAATTGTTTAAAAAAAAAAAAAAATAGATAATTTGAGCTTAACTGATTAATTTATAAGCGTTCCATAGTACTAGTTATTTACGGTGTGGTCATTTGACAAACATTAATAATAAAATAAACTTTAATAATTAAGTTTTAATTAATATTTGATAGGCAAAATTAACTAAAATTTTTAATTTATCACGGTTTTGATTCATTCTTACAATTGAAATTAATTCTATTTCAAATTTTATGAAAATTCAATAATTTGTTAGGATTTTGTATATTAAACTATAAAATAAATTCTAGCAATATCAAAGAATCATTTTGATTAAATGTTGAAATATTAAAAAAAATCGAATCATTTAAAAAATTAGATAATTTGAACTTAATTGATTAATTTGTTTGCATTGTACAGGTACTGGTCACATACATTGTGGTCATTTGATCAGCATAAATAATTAAATAAACTTTAAGAATTGAGTTTTGAATTAAAATTTCACTCGTGAAAATAATAAAATTTTTAATTAGTCATAGATCTAATTCATTTTTACAATTAATGCTAATTTTTAATTTAAATTTAAAATTGATTTTTATGAAAATCCTATAATTTGTAAGAATTTTTGCATAATAAACTGGAAAATAAACCTGTTATTATCAAATTTAATCTTAATTAAATGTTAAAATATTAAATAATATCAAATCATTAAAATGTTAAGATATTAAATAATATCAAATCATCAAAAACTAATTTTAATTAAATTTAAAGTATTAAAAAATCTCAAATCATTAAAGAAATAGATATTTTGTACTTAATTGATTGAATTTTATGCGTTGCAAGGTACTGGTCACACACACCGTGGTCATTTGACAAGCAAAAATAATAAAATAAACTTTAGAAATTAAGTTTTAATCAATATTTTATTAGCAAAATTAATTAAATTTTTAATTTTTCACGATTTTAATTCATTCTTACGATTAAAATTAATTTATATTTCAAATTTAAATAATACATTTATAAAATCCCATAATTTGTACGGGTGTTTTGCATACTAAACTAGGTAAGAAGTCCTACTATTATCAAAATTTAATTTCAAAGGATGTTAAAAGTATTAAAAAATATCATTTAATAAAAAAAAAAATTGATTATTACATACGCATAGTGCGGGAACTGGTCACATACATTGTTGTCATTTGACATCTTAAATAATAAAATAATGCTTAGGCTTAGGCTTAGGCTTAGGCTAAGCTTAGTAGGCTTAGGCTTAAGCATTATTTCAAATCTAAAAATCAATTTTGGTGAAAATTTTATAATTTGCAAGAGTTTTTGTATATTAAACGGGAAAATAATTTCTAGTTTTCTCAATTTTGATTTTAATTAAATGTTGAAACTATTAAAAAATAGCAATTCATTAAAAAAAGTTAGATATTTCGAACTTAATTGATTAATTTGTGTGCATTTCATAGGTACTGGTCATTTACGGTGTGGTCAATTGACAACATAAATAAGAAAATAAACTTTAATAACTATGTCTTTTTTAATATTCGAGAAGTGATATTAATAAGATTTTTAATTTGTCGTAGATTTAATTCATTTCTGCAGCTAAAATTAATTTTTGTTTGAAAGCTTAAGATAGAATTTTATGAAAGTTTTATGATTTGCAATGAATCAAAACCTTTTTTGTATATTAGACTTTTTTCTATAATTTCTAGTAATATCAAATTTTACTTTAATTAAATGTTAAAACTGTTAAAAAATATATTATTCATTAAAAAAAGTTAGATATTTTGAGC